TTCCCAAAGTTTCTGGTGTTTGTGGTATATGTCAATTGACCTGTGGTTTCTAAAGTCAGTTTGGTGGGGTGGAAAGGTTGACACAGCCATTCCCCATTCCCCACCCGTGGGCCTGTTGGGGGCACATTCCTTTTCTTCCTGCCTCCCTCTGGAGGCTTCAATGTTTCCAGCATTATTTCCAACATTCACCCTGTCTCTGCCCTGGCCCTGGCGCTCACCTCATCAGGCCCCGCCCAGCTCACCTCCCAGATGGCCAGGGTGATGTTTGCCATAAGGTCCTACAATCTTGGCACCGTGCCCTGTGCCTGAGTCCTCTCCACCCCTTACCCACTTGAATTCCTGCTTTGTTCCTCTGCCTTATGTTCTTCAAATGTGTCCTGTCAGACCCTTGGCTTGTAGCAGGACCAGCAGGTGTTATCAAGCTCCTAATATATCTAGACTGGCTCAGATGCCCCTTGCAGGAAGCCTTCACAGACTCTCCCTCCTGCAGAAGGAACCTTCTCGAGCTGGGCTCCCACACCACATGCCATCATTCATCCTGGCATACGTGCTGGGGTTACAGAAGGGGTTTCTGCAGCCTGGGGTGCAGGCTTCCACATGAATGAATGAGTGAATGAATGAGTGAGTGAGCAAATGACAACCTGCCTATTCCAAATGCAGAAACTTTATTGGTGCAACTGTGGAAAAGAACTGAGGCACAGGGTGGTTGGGGTTCTCAGGATAGGCCCCCAAAGTCCCCAAGGTCCTAATCCAATGCTGTGCCTGTCTTGGACCTCTCCTCTTCCTTCTTTCTTTCCTCGTTGTGCTGTTTCTCCAGCGGCAGGCACAGATTCTGCAGGACAGCAGAAGAAGAAAGCACAATGATGGGGGAGGGGAGGGTCTCCTGGGGGGACGGTGGGGTGCACTCTGGACTGGGGCTCCAGTCCCCATGGGCTTCTGGGAAGCTCAGCTGTCCCTGCAGTGAGATGGGCACAGAAAAGCAGGCTCTCCTGCCTGGCTGTGCAGCCCTGGCTGGGAGATGGCCCTCTCTGGGCCTCTGGGGCTGCCCAAAGCAGGAGCGCCCTCAGGTGGGCACCGCCTAGTCCTCCTTGCCCTCACCTTTTTCTCATCCGTGTACATGACTTCCGACTTGTCCATGCCCATGCACGTGAGGTAGTCATAGAACTGTTGCATTTGCTCCGGGGTCCCCTCTGGCTTGTCAGCTGCAGGAAGGAGCAAGGGGACAGGTTGAGAATGTCAGTGTGTGTGTGTGTGTGTGTGTGTGTGTGTTTTTCAGGGAGGGGTGGGTAACGGACACG